AAGTTTATTAATATTTTGAAAAAAGTTTTATAATAAAGTTTATAAAATATGTTTTTAAGAATATATTTTATAAGCAAGGTATATTTAGTAACTAGTTAAATTAAATATTTTACAAAACTACTAAAACAGTTTTGATTATATTTAAAAAATTACTATATATATATCTATTTGTAAAAAAATTTTTTCTAATTTTTTTAAAACTAATAATGCTGCAGTTTTATATACTCAAATTAGTTTGTAAATAAAAATTTAAGATAATAATATTATTATATATAGTATGTTATACACACCATTAGTTTGATATTATCTACTAATAGCTACGGATATCACATGATACCTCCATTCTCAAGTTCCAGGAAATTGGGTGAAAGAAAGGTTCCAAGAACCGGTTCTATTTTGCGTGTCTTGTTATTTATTTAATCCAGAAATTAGTATTCGAATACCAGGTTTTCATACTAAACTTGCGAATACAAGTTTAGTACCCTTTTTAATTTTTCAAACTCCTACCTCATGGAAGCATGCTAACAAACTTGATCAAATATAGTACCAAAGAGTATGGTAATTACGCGGGGATTGTATAAAATGGGAATGTTGCATGTTGTCAGTTGTTTGGCTCGTAAAGAACTGTTCAGATTTAAACTGCCCTCATTTACAACAAGAACATTTCCCAGTCACAGTGAACTTCCAGTGATTTATCGATCTATCACAAGATTTTCCTAAAATACCTTAATCTACAAACTACTGCTTGCTTCTTTACGTGAAAAATACTATTAAAACATGAACACTTCTAGCAGACGCGGCTCTAGCTCTCGTTCTACCATTACTACTGCTGCCAGTTCATCCTCTTCTAGTGGTAAGCATTCAGCTGTCAAGACTACTAATACAACCAGTAGCAGCGCAAAAAGGTAAATATATTCCAGTTTTAAACTTGTGAAATCTTTTGCACCTAAATTGTTTTTTTTTCTTTTTTTCTTAAACACGTTTGTTTTAAATTACTTGCATTAATGCGTTATGTTTATTGATCAATAAACTCATACTGATGCCGTATCTTTTTGTAAACTATTACACTCATTTACCAGGATTCAGAAAGAACTTGCTGAAATTAGTCTCGATCCTCCCTGCAATTGCAGGTTTGTTATGCTAATCACCTTTGATTAAAGATTACCAACATTTTGCAATCACAGTTCTGCTTTATGATATATTTTTTTTATTCACATAGATCATTAACTTCTTCACATTAATATTTTTAGCGCTGGGCCAAAAGGTGATAACTTGTATGAATGGGCATCTACTATTACAGGACCTGCAGGCTCTCCATACGACGGTGGCGTTTTCTTCTTGGACATTACTTTTCCACAGGATTACCCGTTCAAGCCTCCAAAGGTAAAATTTTATTCTGTTGTTATTTAAAAGAGTCAAAACAATCGCTCAGACTATAGGAAATTTCGTTGTATTGACGTTATAATATCTGGTAACTAGGTCGTTTATCGTACGCGTATTTACCATTGTAACATCAATTCTTCGGGACAAATTTGCCTTGATATTCTTAAGGACAATTGGTCTCCTGCTTTGACGATTTCCAAAGTCTTGTTGTCGATATGCTCGCTGTTGACTGATGCCAACCCACGTGAGCGTGATTCTTTATTTAATTGTATTGGTTATTATGAGTACTAAAAAAGATGGTATAATTTACGGATTTAAAAATTTTGAACATCTGTAGATGATCCTTTAGTTGGAAGTATTGCACACCAATATTTGCACAACCGCGAGGAACATGACAAAGTCGCTAAAGAATGGACTAAACGGTTTGAATAATTTTTTATTTCAATTATTGTTGATGTCACACACACTTAAATAACTAGAAACTTTATTAATCAATTACATTTATCAAATTATACATGTTTAGTTATGCTTCCTGACTAAGGATGGATCAGTCTTTGAAAGGACCGGCGCCGGATGCTAACGAACTATGGATTCAGTCCATAGTCCATAATCGTCCGGTCCCGGTTCAGATTATGGTCCCAAATGATAAAAAAATTGATAAACTAATAAAAAAATAAAAAATAAATAAATAAAATGCCATATAATAAACTTTTTTCATAAATAATGCATTTATTTTCTAAGTATTAAAGTATTTGATAATGTTAACATAAGTGATCTTCTAATTAATAAGTATTGAAGTCCCAATCTCGTGAAATAAATGTCGAAACCCTAATACATAATAATAAACTAATCAATGATGTGGAATACTCTAATGAATAATTCAGATTATCCCGTTTTCTTTTGTAATAAATATAAAGCTATTTTTTGTACCGAAATAATTGCATTTGCACGAGTATCAAGAAATTTTGAACCCGATTACGATTGGTTACAAGCAGTTAATCTAAATCAAATTGATAATAATAGATTATAACCGATGCTTCTATTCAGATCAATTATAATCAATAAAAATCTCAATCGATGGTGGTAATGAGAATCGCTTGAAATCCTTAGATTTTAATCGATTCACGATGAGGATATACTATTCTACATAATGATCCTCATATGAACAAGGTGCAACACTGTAGATAGTGAAAACACTATCATGGAAAGAGTAAAATTAGTAATTTGTAAACTTCCCGGAATAACCAATATATGAACATTAGACGAAACAGCTTTCCTCAGCTAAACTGTCCACTATATCGGTACTTTGGGGTATTACGAAATTCTCCTTTCCAACAACAGTACGATAACTAGGTTCAATATGATGTCAGTTCTTTACGCTTTACGAGTTTAACCTGACACAAATGGTTTAACATTGGTAACCTCTCTTAGATGATCTCTCGTCGTACATTAAAACTACAGAACTAGAAAAAGAATCTAATAATTCAAATTTCACTCATTATTGTTGCGCATGTACTAAATCTAGCTGTTATTAAGAGAATCGAATTAGTTGATGTATCGGTTGAAAAGAGACCTTTAAGAACTATGTCAAATCTTCTCAACTTGTAAATATTCTAAGGCATTTATGCAAACAGAAATAGAAAATACATACTTGATACCCGCTATATGATTAAGCGTTGGCTAACTATCCTGGTAAAGATCGTATTAAAATTAATGATGAGATGCTTCTTTTAAGGTCATTTGAACGTGCTACGTACCAGCATCATGATATCTGACACATTGAGCTATTCGTTTCATCATTGGGAATCCAAGAGTACTTGATACATTTATATATAGAAGGATTAACGTAATCTATAAATGCAAGTGTGGATCTACTAAAAATGATTATCGTTATTGATCAATTACTGTAAGTGGGAATGGATTTGGAATTTCTTACATAATAGAATTTTAGGGTAGAATTTATTTTACCTAACCTAAAACGTTAAAACACCATCCACTTAAATTATGTTCTTACACAACATATATATTTATTTTACGTATTGTCTTAATTTTCAAATCAATTTTATGATCTACTTTACAGTCTTTTTTAGTTTCTTTTACAAAATTCTTACTTATGGATAACCTTTATTTAAAACTCGTATAGGAATGAAAAATTATTCGGCTGCTATAATGTGTCTAACAAAGTTCAGAACTGAGATTATTATTACTAAGTTGTTCATCTATTACATATAAAGTTCATGTTTTTAATGTGTATGCTTTAAATATATACGTTGAAAAATAACGTGTGTGCTTAATCAACCTATGCTATTTTCTAGTGTTAAATTATTATTGGTTTTTTTTTTTTTTTAATTATTTCCTAAATAATAAGTAAACTCTAGAAATTAATGAGTATTTCAAACCCATTTTACTAATATTAAAGGGTGTAGAAATACGTAGAATATTATTTCCAAAAAATTACAATAGGTCTATAAATATATTAAAAAAAAGTATTAAAGAAATCATATGGCGCAGAACTATTCCGGTATTTTCGCAAACCATCCTTTCTGAGATAAAATTTCCATGTAAATTTTGATACGCTCATAAGAAGCGAAGGTAACAGCCTGACCTACACCTACGCGCATTAAACGGGGAAATAATCCCTTGTATAAGGCGATATATCCTTCGTTTTTGATTAGGTTCATTGTTACTGACACAACCTTGGACCACCCTTTGTCAGTGCTAACTGATCTCTGAATTCTTGTCTTTATGGTGTCAATGGGCGCGTTAGCAATTGGGCCTAATTAAATAGAAGTAATGATTAATTATATGAATTATAAATGATTAAAAAGCACATGATAAAGATATTAAATACCCATAGCACCACTAAGACCGCCCATCAACAAGTGCTGATAGGTTGGCAGTTCTTGACCATCCTTAGTCCCCTGAAACTTTTTCATATGTTGTTTCATTTCTTGATACACGGTAAAATTAACAGCCTGATTTGTGGCTTGCCTAAGTGCAGTTAGTAACACTCCTTTATATAACGCTCGAACACCTTCTTCTCTTACGATAGTGTATGCAGCATGTGCAGCATTACGATATTTTGGGATATCCAACGGATCGGCCATTGAATGACGTTGAGCTTGTAAACGGATCTTGATTACATCCATCGGAGTTACAACAAGAATAGCTTCCGTGGTACCGGCACCAAGTCCGGCTATGTAATGATGGACAAATAACAGACAAAAAAATAAATAAAAATTACAAAAATTAACATATGATCAAAAGGTTCCTTGTGATGCGATAAGATAATGATAATCACAGATTTATCAATAAACAATTGATTAGATTCCAATTGAATCAATGACATACCAAAGAATGTAGCCGTCGTTGAAACTTTGCCAGTCGTTTTATCAGCCAACCAACTCTTGTACAATTCAAAACTGGAGAAACGAATAGCCATCTTTGGCACTATTCCAGTTACTACTGCACCAAGACCTTTGTATAATGCTAAAGGCTTTTCTTTTCTCATGATATTAAAAGCAACTTCAATAAAGCCGGGTCTTGTTGCCTATGATTATTAAAGCTTGATAAATTTTCATGTTTGCAGATCGCTATTGAAAGCTCACAGATTTAAATTTCGTTACCTTCTTGCTCAACTGCATTCTCACTTTTATAGTATCTAAAGGGTGACAACATAGGGCTTCCATGAGGCCTGCGCCACCGCCAGCCATAAAATGAGTAGAAAGGTTTTTTTTTCCATTCTTGTCACCGTTTTTACCGTTATTATTCCTCGACATTATATTGACGATAACGAAAGGTGAATTTGTCGAAAATCAATTTATAAAACAAAAAGAAGCAAAAAAAAAAAAAAATTCAAGTTGTACGAATCAAAGAAATCTGGTATCGTTTTTATATAAGATTTAGGTTCATACTCATGTATATAATAGGTTCTTTTTTTGATAAGATCTTGAATTAAAATCTATTACATCATTAACGCCATCGAGAGAGTATAATCTTATACTCTATATATATATATATACCTATTTGACATAAAAATACAATTGTGCCATTGGTGTTTAACGTCATACACATAACTAAACCGTTTACGTCTAATTATTGCAAGTTACACTAGTTATTACATGCAAACTCCTATCGCTATCTCGCTATTATTCCACGTAATTTATCATATGATTTTTGTGAGTCCACGATTTGACATACCATTATGTCTAAATATTAAGTAAATTTGTAAGTAATTATAATTTTCTTGGCAAACCGCCATCATGTCATGCCTATATAGTATGAACTTTTGTCAATGATATATGTAGATGTTAATCGGTCCCGCAGCAGTTGTGATAGAGTTTCGAAATTAGCATCTTTAATCTGTCTCAAGTCAATAAGTTATAGAAAGGTGTTCCACATTGTCTTGTTCAATCCAGATTTTGTGCAAGAGTCAAGATTCTCTAAATCCAAAACCATATTACTAAAATTCGTAACCCGACTATTGTCTATTGATTTGGATGAACATAAAATATTATCGTTATACAACTCTGGACATCTTAAACCAGCAAGTAAATATAGGTGATTTTTAATATAGTTAGAATTTTTTTTGTAAATGGTAAGTTACCATTGGTAAATTATTGGTACTATTGCAGAGTTAAGATTAATTTTGGCCGACATTAATCTCAGAACGGCAGACCGCATGGTCATCGATAATTTACCAGGTAAAATTACTGACAGTAAATTACGGTAATTATACAACCCTGGTAAAAAATAACCCCATAAAAAACGTTGCTGACGTCACGATTTTGTATTAATAAAAATTTCATTTGTAGCGAATATGAATAAATCTGTTGAAATTTTATTAATAGCAAATGAAGGCATTTGGAACTTGCCAGAACGTCGAAATAACAATGTTAAAATGCTAAAATTCGAAGGCTAGCATGAATCAAATTTATCAAACCGATACGTATAAATTTGATGCTATTAAAATTTTTTAATTTTATTAATAAGAAAATTTCCGAAGATACATTAATATACAGTCAGACCTCTCTAAATGCATTGTGACGGGACCACATGTAAAAACTTTAGTCAAACGCGCATTTAGAAAGATAAAATATATAAGTTGGGCCCAAGTGAAGACATGAGTCTGACCGGAATCGACATCAAAAATACGGGTCATGTGGGTGGCGCCACCTAGGTTCAATATGTACAGTACAATAAACAAATATGCCACTCTGTATACGTATACTGAAATGACAAAAAAAGATCTTCGGAAATCTTAAACTGTTTTCCAGGCAAATTTGCCTGGAAATTTCATCAAATTATAGTCTAAATTGTAGTTAAATTGGGGATAATAAATAATAAGAAAATGAAAACTTTAAAGAACTATACTGCAAAATTTTATTAATATAGTTACTTTTGTACCTTGGGTAAAAAATGATACTAAATTG